TGTAGAAGAACCACTTTGACCTTTATAAAAACCGTTATTTATATAGTAGCCTCTTCTGCTTTCTCCAATAAGTTTTCCGTTTTTGTTGGTGTGAAATTCGGTACAAGTGATCATCAGGGATAAATTATAATATTGTATTAAAAATTATAAGTTTAAAATTTATATTTAAAGAGATTATCAAGAATTAATAAATAATTTTTTTATTAAATTTTTTTTTTAAATTGTTTATTTATAACTTATAAATAATTTAAATTTTTTTCTTATATTATAAAATTAAATATTACAGTAAAACCTCTATAAGTATATTCTTTATAAATATATATCCTTTCTAAATGTATGCTTAAATTTAAGTTTAAATATATACATAACCTTTATAAATACATTTTTTCTTATTGTTCTTTAAGTGCGCATTGTTAAAATTTGATTTTAAAAGCATGCACTTATAAAGATTTTTATTGTACTATATTATAACCTTAATTTTTAAATATTATCAAATAAAATTTTATTTGAATATTTTAAAATTTAAAAATATAAATGATAAGTATATTTTTAGTAATTTTCCAGACAAATTTGCCTAAAATTGGTTTACAGTTTAAGGGATAATGTTCATTATTTAATATAGACATAAGTACTTAGAGTTAATATTTCTACAGTCTTCTTTTAAAATGCCCAAATTTAATTAAACTGTGCCAATTATAATATTAAGTAGGCAAACTCAAATAAAATTCAAAAGCTCTGAATAGTTAAACAGCGCATAATCGAGTACTGAGTGTTAAGGAAAAGTTATTTATGTTAAACGTTAAAGAATAGCGAAATTTTTTGTTACACGGAGATCTTGAAATTCTATTCGATAAGTAACAGGTGATATTTTGCGCACAATTCTATTGGCTAAATAACAAAAAAGGTATTGGATTAATTAATTAGTATATCGTAAACCCGTTATCGTTATCGTTATGCTTATCGGAAAAATATTATAGATATATATACTTTTAGGAAGCATTGCAAAGCTTATAATCAAATTATTGAACGAACCTACATATGAGTATATTAGAATATTAATTGTTAGAAATGCTTCAATCAAAGTCATTTCTTAAGCGCACAAAAAAAGGAAGCGCGATTAAGGTAGTTCAAGAGCATTATTTACGAGACGATATTTGGTGCTCGGTGGAATGCTGCACGCTTTGTTCTCAAACAGAATCAGTTTTAAGAACGTCTGCTCTGCTTACAAAACATATTCCAAGACCGCATTATATTATACCAGATACCAATGTTTTTATGAACCAGGTTCGCTTGATATTTCAACAAATTATGATTTACATTGGTTCGGAATCTAACAATTAGCTCTTGTGATTATAATTATTAAAGATAGATATCATTGAACATCCAGCATTGCATGATATTATTGTCTTGCAAACTGTTTATGAGGAATTACGCCATTTGAGCTTACCAATTTACAATAGATTACGCGCATTAATAAGTGATCAGAAAAAACGGTTTTATGTCTTTTCAAATGAACATCACCGGTACGTTCACTACCACCGGTATAAGTTCATTATTATATAGTTTAATTATACTCTAATTTTTTAATTGTTTATAATAATTAAATTATTAATAAAGCGAGACCTATATTCAACGATTGAAAGATGAATCACCGAATGATAGAAATGATAGAGGTTGGTTTTAAATTGAATACTTTATAAACGCGTTAGCGGAAAAAATTTCACATTTTCTTTGCAACATAAATATATACATATATTAGCGATAAGGTCTGCTGTCAAGTGGTATTCTACACATCTCAAGAAAATGAAAAATAAAGGCAGTCATATTGAAGTTGTGCTCTTGACAGATGATGTAGGAAATCGAACAAAAGCTCAAGATGAAGGATTATCGGCGTTTTCTGGTTCGTTATTAATCTAAACTTAATAAAAAAAGTCTTTGATTTGCACTGACTTTCTATCAATTTTTTTCTTTCTAGTAAGAGAGTATGTCGAAGGGATGACTGATACTCCAGAGTTGGTCGACATTCTCGAAAATTCATCTAATGCTGAAGGTGACAAAAAGATTCTATACGATGAAGTAAGTCTAAATAATATAAAGTACTTAAGATTTAATGAAATACTAATAATTATTATATATTCTCTAAAGCATTTAACAGCCAGTCAAATAAATAATGGCATTAAGAATGGGACGCTACACCAAGGAACATTAACTATTAGCATGCATAATTATCTTGAAGTGTGTAATATTTATTACTGTTTACGATCGATATGATACTATAATCCATTTATTTATATTCTTATTTTTCAAATATCAGGGTTCAATATTGAGTAATGTAAATGGTGTGGATGCACAAATTATGATTTTGGGACGTCCATGTTTAAATAGGGCAATTCAAGGAGATGTGGTAGCTGTTCAGTTATTACCAAAGTCTGAATGGCTTAGAACTCCTACTGCTGTTGTAGTTGAAGAAGGTAATTCTATCAAAATAATGAATATTATTTAATGTTTTCATTAATTTCATGTTATTTACAATTTATATAGAGGAAGAAGCAAACGTAACTGCTGATCTTAAAGAAGATGGTGAACCTAAAGAACAGAGCGACGAACTAGAAAATGAAGTTCTTGAATCTTCACAACCTACAGGAAAAGTTGTAGGAATTATTAAAAGAAATTGGAGACCGTATGCAGTTATAATAAATGTATATTAAAATATACGTTTCTTTACTTGTCACTTAGCTTTTATTTCACCTACAGATATTGTGGCTTCATAAGCAAAAAATCAGTCAAAAAATCTACCACCTCCACTTTTTCGGAAAATGTATTGGTGCTTCCTATGGATAGGCGCATACCATATATATATATAAGAACTAGGCAAGCTCATAATTTGATGGGACAACGAATTTTGGTTTCTATTGATTCTTGGCCAAAGAATTCGACGTATGTTCTTTATTATATTTTTATTTATTATCTATAATTTATTCAATTATAATATGAATTATTTATATACGTTAGGTATCCTTGGGGCCATTATGTGAGAGCGTTGGGTGCTGCAGGAGACAAATCAACAGAAACAGAAGTTTTGCTTTTAGAACATGATGTGCCATTCCAAGGATTCGCTTCTCAGGTTCTGAAAGATTTGCCTATTGAAGGTGAATCGTGGATAATTACGGAAGAACATTTGTCCGGCCGTGCCGACCTAAGACATTTGAATATCTGTAGTATTGACCCTCCAGGTAATAAATGAATCTGTATTTTTTTTTGATTATTATTCGGAACAATATCTCACATTCTTGAATCCAAAATTACAAAGGTTGTACTGATATCGATGATGCTTTACATGTTCGACCACTTCCAAATGGAAATTACGAAGTCGGTGTTCGTAAGTTCTAGAATATTTTAATTGATTATTTGTCGTGGAATTTAATTTACACATCTTTTTGAACCAGATATTGCTGATGTCACACATTTTGTTAAACCATTCACTGCAATGGATGAAGAAGCTGCAAATCGTGGAACTACTGTGTACTTGGTCAATAAACGTATTGATATGTTACCTGAATTATTAGGATCAAGTGAGTATTACGTATCTATATAATAAATTCAATACTAATCAATAGATTATATTAATTCTAACGATACTTTATATTTATCAGACTTGTGTTCTCTCCGTGAAAAAGTCGATAGACTTGCATTTTCTTGCATCTGGGTAAGTCGAATTCTCTAATTCAATTTGTTAACGACCATTTTTCATTAAGCCTTAAAACAATATAGGAACTTACACCTGATGCAGAAATAGTGAATGTAAATTTCACCAAAAGTATGATCTCATCTAAAGCATCGCTAACATATGAAGAGGCGCAAATACTTATCGACGATCCGTAGGTATAATATGCACCGTTCTCCTTATTTTCGCGATCTGTGCTAAGTTATCATTAATTCCTTAGGCGCAAACAAGATGATTTGACTAAAGGAATTCGTATTCTCAACCAATTGGCTAAAAAACTTCATAAACGACGAATTGATCGAGGTGCTATAACATTATCAAGTCCAGAAGTCCGGTTCCAATTGGATTTTGATTCCCAAGATCCTGTTGATGTCGGTATGTGGAAGTTAAACGAAGTTGCTTTACATACTATATAATTGATACAGAACATTTTTAATAAGGTATAAATTAAAATAGAGATGAAAGAATTAAGGGAAACGAACGCCCTTGTTGAAGAATTTATGTTGTTAGCTAACATATCGGTGGCTGAAAAAATTTATTCAAAATTTCCTGCATCTTCATTATTAAGGTATTTGTAAGATATTATTCATTTTATGTTACACTATTTAAAGATAACAATTTTCTTTTGGTTCTATAGACGTCATCCTCCTCCAACGTCAACTAAACTTGAGGAGCTATCTAATGCAATAAAACCATTTAATCTTTCGTTGGAATTCGAGACATCAAAAGCTCTTGCTGATTCTTTAGATCGTGCTGTGGTGAGCAAAATAACAATATAAATTACAATAATATCACTAATTATTTAGATGTTTTTAATTTCTAATCATTGTTATATTTTTCTAAATAGTTACCTGATGACCCATACTTCAACAAGTTGTTAAGAATATTAACTACAAGGGCTATGATGCAGGCTCTTTACTTTTGTTCTGGTACATTACAATTTCAGGACTTTAGGCATTACGGTCTTGCGGCAGAAATATATACACATTTTACTTCTCCAATTAGAAGATATTCAGGTAAGGTATTAAGATATTCTTTAACCACCAAGCAGGTTTGTCCGCAATATCTTAATTAACCACTCTATTTTTAAGATGTCATCGTACATCGGTTGTTACACGCAGCTATAAATCCTGATGTGAATTATGGTCAGGAGCTGGTAGATATAAGTAAGATGCAAAAACTTTCAGAAGGTAAACTATATTATATTCATCTTTTGTTCTTTGCATCATCATTTTCTTAATATTTTATATTTTCATCGGTAGTGCTGAATTATCGCCACAGGATGGCACAATTAGCTTCTCGCAGTTCAGTAGAATTACACACCAATATTTTCTTTAAAGGAAAAATAGAGCAAGATGAAGGATATGTAACACGTGTATTAAAAAATGGATTTATTGTGCTTGTTCCAAAGTATTTATTCTTTAAGAGATATCATAACTGGATTTGTTGATCTGCCTGTTTAAAAATCAGTACTTACATTAATTTTGTTCACTAGATATGGAATAGAAGGAATTGTATATTCATCATCAACAAGCACTACTACAAATTCTCAAACGACACCATTGGTTGTCTACAATCCTCACAACAATAGTCTTGAATCCAAAACACCTACCGGCATAGTATCTATTAAATTGTTCGATCGAGTAATAGTGCAAATTACTGTAGATGAAGATTTAGTTGGCGGTATGAGACAAAAATTGAAAATGGAATTAGTTAGTCCATTCATTCCTGGTCTGAGTGTATCGGACAATAATTTAAGAAAAAAAGAGGTTAGAATAGAGGATGAGGGAGGAAATGGAAAAAGAATGAGAATTGATGATTAACAATGTTTTGGACTTATTATACTTGAAATTATTTAAGTAATTTTATAAAATGTCTATTATAATTGTCAGATTCAACTGTTTACCTCTTTATTTTGCCATTTAATATTTTTGTGATATTCAGTCATAATAAATGCATGATACTAATTATAAAAAACCTTCTAATGTGCTATTACCTAAAGTTAACTGTTATTGACAAGAAAGTTATTTTCATAAAATAAATTGTTCAAACGCAATAATTGTAATAAATCATTTATATTTTATATTGCAAATTCATAATCTAAATTCAATTGCTTCATAAGTTGAGATTTAGCTTTAATTTTTGACTTTTTTGGTATGAAGGTACTTCAAAAATGTTCTTACTCAATTTTGCTTGTAAGAATCTTTTTAACAACGCCTTTTTCGATAAAATGGATTTCATACTAACGGGTTTGGGTCAAAATCTCGACAGGTCATAATTCCGACAAAAAATTCGCGACTGCTAAAAATCTCCGACAGTTAAAAATTCCGACAATCAAAAACTTGATAAAAAATATCATAGACAATAGCAAGCCTAACCCTAAAATTAATTAAATTATACGAATCTATTTCGCTTTAAACATATCCCATATTTTGGATTTTCTACCTAAAATTCTGGCTGTCGGGATTTTTAATTGTCGGGATTTTTTTTTGTCGTGATTATGACCTGTCGGGATTTTGACCCACACCTCTTTTATAATACCTCTCACAACTTTCGGAGGCCTAGAATGTAAAGTATCCCGGGTACTAAGGACGGATTAATTGCACTTGGGAATGTAAAATACCCGGGTACTAAAGATGGATTAATTACACTTAGTATATAAAATATTACTACAACACTCATATAGTGCAATTTATATTTTTTCAGCTATGCAAACGAACAATCAATTCTATATCATGTCAACTTTACTTATATTAGGCATAGGTTTATTGGCATTGCTAAAATCTTTATATCATGATGTTTATTATTTCTTAAATATTATGTTTACTTCTAATAAATTATCAACAAACTTTTTAATATAAATGTATTACAAATTTTATTGATTGCACATCAAAGTATTTCGGAAGCATGATCTTCAGGCATAAATTCAACTTCGTCGTCACAATTTCACCAGATACTTATAATAATACTGTATAAGGAGGATACTGCAGTGAGCAAAATGTTCGTCATCATACAGGAAACGTAGTCAATCCTTCCTTCAAGATCAGCAGACCCTACTCAGAAAATCTTTCATAGGGCCTAAATTACACGCCCTGCCTGTTGTCTTCACTGTCATCATCAATCATCGTCATTATCAATCATCATCATTATCATCATCATTTCTTCTTTTCTTCCTCAAGACAGGGTGTAATTTTTTCCTTATGACTCTATTGGCTTTTCGTATAAGAAAGCTTTTAGTTAGTTAGAAAAGAAAGAACGTTGTGGTCGTGACGTGCTTTCAAACTATTTTACTCACTCCAAACGATATGCAACCCTTCTTTCCATAAGTCTTTGTTAGCATCAACTTTTACTTTTCTTTTGCTTTTTTTTCGTAGGGCAATGCTTTCATTATCTAGCTTTTTAAATTCAATTTTTTTTGTAAAAAATTATATAGTATTTATTTATATTTTAAAAAATAATATGTAAAAATACTAACCTTTTAAACATTTTTTCAGTTAGGCTTCCAGAAGTGCACGCGAACTTCGTGTTGGCTCTTTATAAGATAAGAAGTAAAAGATAAAAGTAAATAAACAAAAAAAAACAAAAATATAAGAAAGACATGTTAAAAAAGTGTAAAAAAAAAGATAAAAGTAAAACAATTACTATTACGCGTAGAAGTCGGGTTAATTGATCAAGTTTTGTAGATCTACACGTGAAAATTGATCAATCAAATAAAAATGGTAGCCGGACAGATCTGCCGGGTACATGTTATTATGTGATTCGGATTTGATGGACAATTCAATTACGAATCAGAAAATGTCCTTAGCGTATTCATGAATCGTTATCAAACAATAAATATGTCTAAGTTTCTCATAAGAATGTTTTTAATAAATAACATGAATCGCTTAAAATTTTATTGTTTATACAGTTTCTTTTGGTTATATTTATAGTCAAATTCAATTTTTCTACGTACAAGCATTTTGTTTTTTATTTCTATTTTGGACCAATAAGTTAATAATTTCTTCATTTAGTACTATAAAAAGTGTCTATGAGACTAATCCAAAGGTTATAATGGATGGTAATTTATTTAAATTACCCCAAAAATATTTAAGATGTTAAAAAATAAACTGTCATATTTATTTCATTATTACTATCATTCTAAAATATTTGAACTTTAGATAATTTTTTTGTAAGATAAATTTTATAATTGTCGTGCCAGTTTGTTCTTTAACATGTTAATTTATTTGGTTTTGCATTGTAAATTTTTTTTACTTTGATTCCTTTTTCATTCGAAAAATCTTCATTATTTGAATAGTATGACATCATGTGCAGGATTTGGGTTGTTGGTTTGACATAGTAAAAGAACTTATCGTTATAAAAAAAAATTTGTTGATTTAAATGTGCTAATAATCAAAGAAAAAGAATTCAAATAAAATATAAAGTAGCATAAAACTATAAGCAACTCTATAAAAATTTTAAGCAATAACAGCACAGCAGTAACGATGGTAGAAGAAAAAAAAATTTTATTCGTTATTGTATGGTAATGATAGTGAATTTTCTTTTTTTGATTTGTAGTCAAAATTGCCAATAATCAAATCCGAATCACATAATAACATGTACCCGGCAAATTAAGGCCATGCAATTTAATTAATTGATTTAACCCAGCTGGGTCAAATTTGAAAACTTGTAAAAATTTTTTTATATGCTTTACAGCTGTTCTCATAAATTTTGGAACATTAGGTGAAAAATGATTATTTGATGATTCGATAAGTTCGTGATTTCGGTAATGAGTGATTACATAATAATGTGTATGTTGCGTGTCAAAATAAATTTTGCATCAGGTTAAAATTTAAATACAGGATTTCATTAAAAACTTACATTAAGATGAGGGTTAGACACAAACCAAGCATCACCCAAAAAATCAGTTGCATTTTAAACTCAATCAAATTTATATATAGTTTCGATGGTTCAATAAATTTTTTAAACTACAGTAAGCGATACAATTATACTTTTTTTTTTTTTACTTCTTTATATTACAAACAGAACAGAAATCATAAACTTTTTTGTGAAAAAAACCTCGTTCTAAATGCTTAACATGTATTAAAGAAAGTAAAATGCAATATATGAAATCAAAATTATTTAATCAGATTTTAAAACAGCTTCTCTTCGTAAATATTTAGATTTAAGTATGGACGAATAAGTGCTAGTGCTGTTGAGGTTACAAATGATAAAGCTATTGAATTAAAAGAATACTAGTGAAGCTACTATTTATTTATTTTATTATTATGCAAGCTATTTATACAGTCAACTTTGGATATAATGAATCTCTATGTACGAACTCCGGATATGACTAAATTAGAATTTTAAAATTTCCAGTTAGTTCAATATAGAAGCGCAGTTCAATATAGAAGCACGATTGATCCTTAAAAAACATTATATTAATAATAAAAATAATTTATAAGTGATAAAGTTTATTGAAAATTTGAAACTTTTCCTTAACAAAGAAAATAGTTAAACATGATTGGCTTATTAAAGAAAAAATTTCAAGAAGGATAATACAATGATATACATGGATGTCTAAATTATTTTTGAAAAAAAGTAATTTTGCAAAAAAATTTTGCTATTGCTGTATTTTTTATATAAATTTTTATAATAATTAAATTAATATATTTAAGAATTTAAAAAGTCTCAACAATAATTTCATCACTTATTTCGCTGACTATAGAAAGCTGATTTTGGCAGATAATTTTCAAAATAATTATTTATTATTGCTGATAGTTTTAAAAATAAATTAAAATACAAAACAACTTAAAAAACTCTTTCTCAAAAATCACAAAAATATAAGAAAATAAACAAAGAAAAAACTAAGTAAATTTAAATAAATAAATTACTAGAATGACAAAGAAAACAACAAAATCAGACTGCAGCACTACTAGACAGACAAGATAAAGTGTAAAAGGAATACAACAACAACTAAAAACACAACAGCCAAGCAACGGGTCCTTGGGTCAATATACAAATTTATGTTTGAAGCAGCAAAGCAAATCCAAATAGAAAGCTATAATACTAGAAGTAGAGTCAGTAGCAACAATAGGAAAACAAACCTTAAAGAAAACAAACCAGAAATAGATAGTACAGCTTAAAGGCAAAAAAACTTCATATCAACTCTGCTCTACCATACAAAAGGCCAAAAAGTGGTGAAACTAGGATACTCCTGATAAAATCAAAAATAACATCATTGTCAGATTACAACAACAAAACAAAACCAGATCAAATAGGTTCCAATAATGAGATGTTAAAAATAGAAATAGACAACAACAATTTATCTAAAACAGGCAACAACATGCAATAAAATATGACAACACAACAAACCAGTAGCACAAATGTAGTATCCAATTAGAATAGCATAGTGAACTTATAAGAACAAACACAAGACCACAACAATGAAATACAATCAACAGAAAACCAAAATACAGTACTATTAGCAAATAGCGACAACATGGAAATAGAAATCAATAGTAATATAACAGCAGAGCAACTAGTAGCACAAGTGACCTATAGCCAAATAGTACAAAAAAACTTAACACAGCCTAACAACAAAAAAAGCACAAAACAGAACAACTATACAGAAAAGTGGACACAAGAAATTAATAGAAGATTAGAAAAAGAAGTAGATTAAGTCTTTAACAAAGCTCAATGGAACTATAACAAAATAGTAACTGCACTTCAAAACAAAGAAGGAATCCAAAAATTCGTTCAATATAAAATATATACTAAATCTACAAATCAGGCATTACATCTAGCAATCAAAGCTAAATTTAGACACAGAGACACTACCTTCTTT